GAAACCTGACAGATCTAGAGGAGATCTGTGTGGAGGAGTGGGCCAAAATCCCTGTTGCAGTGTGTGCAAACCTGGTCAAGAACTACAGGAAACGTTTGACCTCTGTAATTGCAAACAAAGGTTTCTATGAGTGGAGTAGAGGTGGACTTTTTCAAGGCACAGTAACAGGTCTTTGAGAGCCAGAATTCTTGCTGTTTCTCAGGTGTTCAAATACTTATGTTCAGCAGTGCAAGACAAATAAATTCTTTAAAAATCATACAATGTGATTTCCTGAATTTCTTTTTTTAATTCTGTCTCTCAGAGTGGGAATGCACCTACAATGTGAATTTCAGACCCCTTCATGATTTCTAAGTGGGAGAACTTGCAAAATCGCAGGGTGTTCAAATACTTCTGTTCCTCACTGTATATAATTTAGGGTATTTTTAGCAAACATAATTATATTAAAAAGATAGATTATACATACAGTATATTGCCAAATAGTAGTGTGAGAGTGGTTTTACAGGGCATGATGACACAAATACATTCATGTCAGTGCTAAATGAAATGTCAAAGATGCAGTAACAGACCCGCCGCAAGCGCTCCTTGACAAAGTGCAGCTCCTCTCTGGAGTGAATGGACAACAGGTAGGCTCCCATCATCTGACAGGCCAGAGCGACTGTGTCCCAGTCAAAGGGCTGCTTGGCCAGCAGGTACTCAGCTCCACGGTAAAACACCCAGGGCTCGATCTCTATGGATGGAATTGTCAATAGGTGCAATACGTGCTAGAGAGTACATGATTTTTGGAAATGTGTCATTTCCTTCAGCTTTTATGTGGATTCATATGTCAGTCAGCATTTTCTATTAAATGATAAATCTTTTCAGTCACGAGGTAATAAGATGCCATTTCAGGACCTTTAGCCTTAACCTGGTTTTGTTTTATCCAGCTAGGGCACATTCTGCTTGGCTTTCTTTGCATCATATTCACATTAACAAGGTCTAGAGCATCTAATTCTATACTTTGTACATGTCATAAGCAAAGAAGTAAACATTCATACTTACGCTCGGTGTACCAATAAGGTCTTTTCAGTTTATCACCTGCAATATGAATTAGAGTTTGGTGAAATCAAGAAATCTGATTTTGATGGTTACAAGTCTGTGTGGAGCATGTGATGTGAGAGTGTTCACCCCTGGACAGCTTGCAGATCCACTCATGTTTGGTATCACAGGGCTGTGGCATGATAGTGTTGGTCAGGTCGCTGTACACAGCACAGTCCCTCCTGTCATCCTCCTCGTTCTTATCCTCTATGAAGGATGTTACCACCTACACACAAACAGACAAGATAAAACCATAATGGATATGGTGTCTGAAACTGTAAATGAGGCAGATGGATATGTTAGTGAACTTCTCTATGTACTTACAGGAGAGCCATCAGACCACTCCCAAGCTCCAGGATGTTCAGGATCTCTTTTATTTAAACCCACCCAAAACCAACGACCCTCTGTTCTAAAAAGAGTAAATAAAAGAAGATGCAGACAAAAAACACACTGCAACACAAGTCCAACAAGAGGGGTCTTTAAGCAGCACCCTATAGAAGAAATCTTTCCACTTGTATGGGAGTAAATAAACTACTTATATATCTTTAAAACTTGTAGTTAGCTACATAGACCAATGTAGTGAGATTAAATGTGCTTTAAATAATATTTTTTAACTATCATTAGGATCTCCCTTATATCAAGACACTCAGTCAGGGTGTGCAATGTACACTAAGTTATCCTTTTGTAGGTAACTGAATATGGTCATAGTGTAAACTTTCTGCACACTTTGGTAAATAATACTAAAAATTTCAATATATACAATAACCATAAGGGTCTGCTTTTGACTATTCCAGTGAAAAATAACTTGATAAATCAAGATATATCATCACATTGATGCAAAAAATACTGTAAATCCAATATAAACAGTCCGGCTCACTCATTTGTAAGACTGACTATATTTATGTAACAAAAGCAAAGATATCTATAAGACTATAACTTCTTAAGGTGGTGTTCCCCCCACAGAAACAATCATCTGCGAGACAGCATAGCTATCCCAAACCACATTTTATCTTTCAATAATCAAATTCTGCTCTACGCACATAAAATAAAAAGCCTCAGCTGATGCATTTATGAGTTCCCATAACATTCCTGCACCAACGAGGCCCAGAGGGCTGTACCAACCCTTCGAACATGGTACTGAGCAGCTGCTTAACAAACACCTGCTCCTCATAGTGGTGGAAACTGGCCAGTTGAGCTCCGAGGGCCTGGCAGAAGAAGTCTGCTTCGACCCAGGAGCGTTTCATCAGGACTTTCTCATTGTGGAACACCTAGTGGAGCAACACATCCTGTCAGCTGAGACTTACAAGGGAGATGGACAAAAAAAGGGCAGAAATGCATCACATGCATAAAAACCAATTTTGTAGATTATTTGTAGTTTGTTATATATATTACATGCATTTCTTCAGTAATCAAGTTTTACCCTGTATTTATAAGGCAAGAATTAGCAATTTTCAAATCATATATACAGATAGCAAACAAAATTATTGCCCTACATGAAATGCACTGGTAAACCTCATAATGATTATTTTTGCTAAACTCTTTTCTCAGTTCATACTATTATTTGTGAGATTGGTTTTTGTAGTAGATTTGTGAGTAGTACTGTCACCTCAGAACTTCAGTCATTAAGAATTAACTATTTTGATATGAAATTACTTGCTATGGAATTTTGTGTACAGGTGGCAAAACAAGCTTCTTAAATGTGAATCTAATTAGTTTCTTTTCTTGGCCTTATATGGTAGTAAACTGAGGTCTTTGGGGTTTGGACAGATGAGTGGACAAAACAAAACATCTCGAAATGGCTCTGGGAACTTGTGAGGGGCACTTTTTATAGACCAAACTATAAATGACTCAACTAAGAAAATAACTGAATCATTAACTGATATTGAAAATAACTGCTAGTTACAAACCTTGTAAAAACTGGAAACTGTGAAAATAAACTGCCTGTATAAGTTTATGTGAATATGTTTGTCTATGTGTGTTAGCTCAGTGATAGACTAGCTCACAGCGCAAACTGGGAGAGGCTATGGTCCCGTGACCCCGAACAAGACAGGAAATGAATGAATAGATGAAATAGTTTGTGGTTTTGAAGAGAAAAGTATTGCATTAAGTATGAGGTAAGCAGAAAAAGATGACTGAAACATGAGTCAGGACAGAGAATAGAAATGAGCCCTGAGAAAAGGTGACCCAACCTTAAAACAGTAAAGCAGCCCAGAGTGTGATTCCCACCCTGGTGGACAGGGGGCGTAGGCATCCACATGGTGCTCTGGCAGCAGGACACCGTGGTAACCGCTGATGCTCTGCTTGCATACTGACAAGGCCTTATAGGATTTGCAGTCTTTGACCTCCCAGTGACCCAGAGCAGGCCCACCTGACATAGCTACACAGCCACCAACGCTGACTAAGGAAAGGAATAAGAAAGGAGAAGATCAGGCAGTTGAAAAGAAAAAATAAACCTAAACCAACAACTAAGCTTATTCACAGTGTATTAATTCATAATTAGAAAATGTTTTTAATCCAAAAAAGGCTACCTGGCTGGTGTTTGTTCCAGTTTGTGAAGGTGAGAGGCAGAGAGGAGCCATTGTGAACCAGCCAGCTGTACTCTCCCTTGTTCTCCTGATCCATGAGGCCGATCCAATAATACATGCTACTGTTAGCTCCGCTCTCACTCAGCAAACTATTGACAAATGCCTGCTCAAACCTGCCAGCATGAAGAAGCAGAGAGGACAGGTGAGGAGGAGAAAGCTTTTGTTTTAGAACAGTTTGTTCAGTTAAATCCCTGTTTTCTGACTGGAGACTATTAACTGCAGTTATTTTATCTTCTATTTTAATCATACATGTATTATATAATTAGTGATTATTATTGTGATTTTTTAACAATTCTTTCATTCATCATCATACAATAAAAAAATAAACCTATTTTCCATAGTAAGAAGAGGAGCCTTGCAGTAATATCCCATCACTGCATCTTCGTAGCTCATGTCGCTTCCAACCCTATAAAACACAACAAAAGTCAAAAACAAAAACTCCATGTTGTACTACATTTGAAATTGCAGCTTTGTTCTATATTTCACAAGATAAAAACTGTCACATTATATCACATCTATACATATCACATTGTAGTTTTTTGGTATCAACCAAAATGTTTTCTTGGAACTGAAGATAATCTTTTTTATTTCCAGCATTCTTCAGGTCAGTGTTTATAATTTAATCTAAAGGCTGTCAATTTTTATTCATGCATAGTTCTTGTATTTAGACAACATTTATGTGAGAGCACTGGCAGGCAGGGTACACTCTGGACAGGTCGCCAGTCTATCACAGGGAAGTAGACAAACAACCACACACACCCTCACTCACTCCTATGGGCAATTTAGAGTCGCCAATCAGCCTAAGCTGCATGTCTTTGGACTGTGGGAGGAAGCCAGAGTACACGGTGAGAACCGACGCAGGCACAGGGAGAACATGCAAACTCCGCACAGAAAGGCCCTGGGTCAAAAACAGTTGATTTGTTTAAGTCTGGAGCAAAGTGGTGAACCTACACCTGACACAACAGTCCATAGAGCCACAACACTAGTGTGACTAAAAGTAAATGTGTGTAGTTCCCATGGTAAGATGGTATCCTTTGGGAAGCTCTACATGTTAGTGAATATAGTATCTGCGCAATAATGTGCAGGTCCACGTATGCCTGTGTTAAGTGGTATGGTGGGGGTGTTTTGACAAGTGGTTTCACTTTGACCCCTCTTGGATCCTACGCCCATTCATCCTTAGACTTGGGGTCCAAAGGCCTAGACTAACATTTATGTTAAGACAGAGTCCAGAGCAATCTTTGAAACGTTTTATTGCTGATGGAGTCACTTTAAGGACAAAACCACACTCAAACATCTCACATCATTACCTGAGTGTACAACAAAGACAAAAAGACCACAGTGGAAAATACAGCCTGGTTTTAGCAAACCGGGCTGTAACCAGACTGCTCAAGCATGTCCAGTGACACTGTGCCTTAGGGGCCATTTTTTACCTCATGTTTCAGGATAAGAAGCAGCCTGATGACTCAGGAGTCTGATATTCTTGTAAACAAAGTCAAGGAGCAACATGAACATCAGACAATACGTCAGCAGTTGTAGTGAATCAGCTCATTGTGTTTATGAAGGGGTAATTTGCTACGGGGCTGAACGGCAGCAGACATGTGGCTCTGCCTGGTGCACATCCTGATCTATTATGTCATTGCACAACGGATAATAGGCCTGACAAAGCAAAAGAAAAAGTCTCAATTTATGCTAAAAATAGAACATTCTCTTTTTTGAATCAGAGGATGGACAAAGCATTAAAATGTCATTCTACCCAATCAGCACTACAGATTTTCTTTAATCATTATGGAACAATCTAAAACCAAACCTCCTGTGTGTCACATTTGCAAAGTGAGGACCCAGATGCAGACAAAGCACGAGGGGGCAGGGAGAACCCAGACTTTAATAAAACAATAACTAAGAGCGGCCAATATACAGAAAAGCAACGAGGCAAAAATACAAATAACTAACAGCTTGGCACGAGAGAAAACTGAAAATAGCATAGCCAGGGAGCAAGAAGTTAACTGAGGAGAACAGAAAGTTACAAACCGAACACTGGGGAACACAGGACTGGAGACGCCAGGGAGAAAGTCACAGGCAGAAGCGGTAAAGCAGGGAGGCAGGCAGGAGTCGGTAATGGGCAAGACATAGCAGGACCAAAAATATAGGGTGTAGTGAAGGCGATGATGGCAACCAGGAGCAAGGCAGGGAATGTACACAGAACCAGCAAAAAGACCAAGGGAGGCGAGGTGCATATAAAGGCTGAGCTGGGGAGGTAATCAATGGTCAGAGTAAAGATGGGACAGGTGGGATAGCATGGGACAGGAAATAAAACAAATAAATACAAGTATAAAACAGGAATTCTCAGAGGATCATAACACTGTGCTTACAGGTGTTTCCACAAAATTTGTGCCACATTATTGGTAAAGTCTTATCAGATGAAACATTATTAAATGTGGGATATGATGGGCTGTTTTTGATCCCCTGCTACTGGTCAAAGGTTTGGCTACTCTACAAAATGTGTACAAAACAGTGTCACTGGATGACAGACACTTCAGCCATTGAGCACATGTTGACAAGGACGTGTGTGCATTTGTACGTGCTTTGATGTTCCTACCTCAGAACAACCCTCATTCCAGGTTCCAGGTTGATGAATAGGATTCTGGCTTTCTCTTCGACACACAGCAGACAGCTGCTCATCACATGACACTAAAAGCCAGTTACCTTCCTGTGAAAGAGGTTAAGATTTTACTCTCACAAGAACAGCACTAAAGAATTCATACAAGCATTATAAAGGCTATCACAACTGACAGAAAATGAATCAGCAACTATTTTGATATTTGACGGTCATTCATTTAAAGTCATTTGATATTTCCAGCTAGTCTAATGAAAAATAAGGACCTTTTTGTTGTCTTAAGTTATAGTAAACTGAATATTTTGGGGTTTTGACATGTTAGTCAGACTAAATGAGGTACTTAAAGCCATCACCTTAGGTCCTAGAAAACTGTTCAGTGCTTTCTGATGAGTTTTGAAATAATTTATTGATAAATCAAGAAAATAATAGGT